GTGAGGCTTCCTTGCGGCCAACAAATGTGATTTCCAGTTCAGAGAATCAATTGCACTTCAGACAAATCTCTAGCGAACTCCGAAATTTCGACCTTACTTCGAAAAAAGAAGCAGCCCCATGTCAGGCAAGTGCACTTTGATGTCAATCCAAACTAAATTGGCTAAGCAACGTTTGTATCTGGGAACAATGCCATGCATTTCGTCTTAATGCGGAAATGTGAGGCAGATACTGATAATTATTTTAGAACCATGGCCTAAATGGTTCCTAAACGTCAAGGGTAGGCTGAACATTATGATTAACTGAAGAGTGATGAAATGAAACCCACTCCCTTTTTCGAAGTTAGGCCAGAATCTCTGGTTCGCCGAAAAGGTTGTCCCTGGATGAAGTTTGATTCTTTGAACACGTACACCTCATACACATCAGTTTTATTTGTTCGCGGTGAAAATTCCAAAGCATGGATGGTGACTGGGAAAATAGTGCTTAATTCTGTTACGAGCTGCTCGTATACGTGCAAAATAGGCAAATGTTGACGACGTAACTCCTAGCCATGTTGTCAAAAAAAGCAAAGCAAGCTCCGCAAAGAACCAAGTCCACGACTTCTCCGTTGCGAGATCGGACCACTACTAGCTACGCTGCTATACCACAACACGACTCCGCATTCGTTAGTATCTAAGGGCGCATTCTTCATTCTCTGGTTGATAGCCTTCCCTGTGATGTAAGCTTGTTCTTGCTGCGAGGAATATCACTAAATTGTACTGCATTCGCACTGCATCGCAAGTTTCGTGCTTCCTTGTCGAGTAAGATTGTTTTTCAGAGCTACGTTTTGGCTCGGGGACCTCAATTTTCGGGTTGATAAGGAACCCGAAGAGGTTGTAGAGCTGATCAGAGCAAAGGCCTTTTCTCAGCTATTGGGTGAGTGCTTCTGATTTACTCGTAAACTCTAATGGTACTCCTAATTAAAGATACTAGTGAACAGCTGAAACAAGCGATACGTCAAAAGGAAGCATTCGATGGATTCAAGGAGCAACCGATTTCTTTCCCACCTACATACAGGTTCTTCCAATCTTTTTTTTTCGATCTTCTAATAATTTTATAATAATTATGAAGTGACGTGACTACTGTTTTGCCACGTATAGGCTGCCCATAGACGAACTGTTATAGGTTCTATGTTGGCTCAACTGAATATGACTTGAAGCGAACCCCGTCTTGGTGTGATCGAGTATTGTTTAGGGTGAGAGTGCTTTTAACATAAAAATTTCATGAAAAGTCAAAATATCAAGCTATAATTCCAGGGCGACACCATTTCCCCAGTCACATATATATCTAACGAGAACGTGTTGGTCAGCGATCATATACCTGTGCAAGCGGTATTTGATTTGAAGGTAATTTCATTGCAATCAGCTTCATTTCCTGTGAAATATGGTGCCTTAGCATGGCGTGACTCACTGCAAAGTGTGTTTTATAATCACTTCTTTCCCCGGCCGCTGCCGAGAGTTCCCTTTCCCTGCGTATCTAGCTATCTTCCACTATCCGCTTCAAATGTGGAGGGGAGTGACTTTTTTGCCCTCCCCCCCCTCCCGTGCATATCACAGTTGGAGTGCCTTCATCACCCTAATGTCATGACATTGGAGACCTCGAGAGAATTTGACCATACCCATTGTTTTATCAGCACTCCGTCTTCCTCTCCTTCCCTTTTTCCTGCCCCTCGCTTTGCCCCCCCCCCTCCCCACCCAACTACCTCGGCATCGCGATGCGTAATGGTCGACGACGTACAAGCGAATGTCCCATATCCGAGAGTTGGGTAGGTGTCACCGGAAGTGACGTGGTGCACTTGATAGAAGTTGCGTGGATAAGCTGTTGCCAGCATGCTTTGCTGATATCCAGCGATGTATGTTGGAAGCAGCTTATCCACGCGACTTCTATCAAGTGGATGCTGCCGGTGACACGCCTACCCCAACACTCGGATATGGACTGTACAATCAGCAACAAACGCTACAAACGTAGATATCGCAAGAGCTTCGAGCTCTACAGTTTAATTGGTCATTAGTTTATTCCATTGGCTGTTATACCATTCCATTTTGCGGTCGGACAGACGCATCCACACACTAAGTTAGGGCTCATATAATGAAAGAATTTTGTACCCTGAGAACTGCTGGAACCTCCCTTCCCCTATATATGGTCACGCCTGCTATGTTCTTCCTTTTGTAAGTTCAGCACTCGTGGAGGGCTGTGAGAGAACTAAAATGGTGAGTATATAGTTGTAGAGATTCTCATAGCAGTCAAAAGATCATGTAAGAATGATACCTCACTGAATTTTGCGAACCAACAAGCCTGACTTTGAGTTTGGGCCTTTCTTGTTGACGATTGCTTTTGCTCTCCCCCTCATTTCCTCCGACTCTCCCTCATTCATGGCTATCCAGTATTTGTAATTGCTTCATCCCAGCTCCTTTATCATATTCTCTGTTAGGAGGAAGTAGTTTTGAAGACGGACATCGATGAGCCCACACACTGATTAGTATACCGGAATGATAGACTAAATGCTGATGTTTTATTCGTGCACTTTTGTTCTCCACTGGCTTGTAAAAAAGTTATTTCACATACAGACATGGCTATTTTCTAGGTACCAGGATCGCAAGCTACCAATTGGGATGTGTTATTTGAACATTTGCCTCCATGGTATACGACTGTGCCATTAATCAGTCGCTTCCAGTTCCGTAATAATTACTGGAGTCGTCATGGCAGCTATCTGGACTGGGCAGCTGTCTATCCGGTATGTCATTTCAATGAATTGCTACAGTGCGCTCTTTACCATAGCACCCTCGAAGCTTCTTCGACGTGCGACGTCACTCCTCTTACATTCGAACATCTTTACTGCGTAATCCCCAGAGTAATAGCTATAGTCGTCTGTGGGGATATCGCAGCGAAAATGTTCTGCGAAAGGTACGAAGTCACGCTTTGAGACAACGGTACATGCCTCTACACCACTTCTCTCACCGTAGAGCACATCCTGGTTTGGAAGCAGTTATGCAGTTCTACGATAGTCCCCGACTAAAAAATTATCTTGTTTCTACGACCACTTTAAAACATTGATGACAGTGCGCGTTCTGTCGTTTATAGCAGCGTGGAACTAGCGCGGTTTGCGAGCACGACTGTCTCAGGAGTAATACCCAAAACGTGGATGGCATTAGGAATGGCCACCAGGACTGGGCATAAAAGGAGGGAGGGTCTCCAGGAAAAGTGAGACCTGCTTCGCACTTGGGAATCCCTTCCTACTCATGGCTTACCATTAGTCTTAAAACTGAGTGTTATCATAGCCCTATGTCGCGGTCATAGAGCGTGGACGACCTGAGTGCCGCTCGTTACCGTGCCTTCCACTTCCATACAACTCGTTCAAGTAATTGAAAGAGCGGTGTCCCGTCGGACACGATTTTTGAGTTCCCCACACAGGCCGATAGCCTTCTTCAGGGCTGCAGTGCTTTCGTCTTACCCTGTATATTCGGCGGTCGGCTGCGTGTCCACTGCAGCCTTCACGCACGACCTTCACAAAATGTAATATTTCGGCTATTATAAATATCCTTTATCAACTATGTAGCAGCTATCACTAAGACCATTAGTTATCAAGATTTACTTGGATGCCGCCGGCACTTTTGTTGTAGAGCCTGTAAAGCAGATCTCTCTACTCCCCACCTACAAAGTGTACAGTCCATATCTCGAAGTCCGAGTATGCGTGTCATCGGAAATGTAGTGACGGCACCGCACTTGATAGAAGTTGCGCGGATAAGCTGCTTCCAGCATGCTTTGCTGATATCCAGCGGAGTGTGTTGGGAACAGCTTATCCACAAGACTTCTATCGAGGTGGAATCGGCCACGTCAAATTCATAGATGTGCCTTATCAGATTTCAGGATACGGACTGTACAGCCCACATCCGAGAGTTGGGGTAGGCATGTCACCGGAAGCGACGGCAACCACCGCGACGTGGCTGCTGCCGCTTTTGATAGAAGTTGCGTAGGTAGTGTTGCCAGCATGCTTTGCTGATATCCAGCGATATATGTTCTTAGGCAAACATTTTGTGTAGGCTATCCGTCGTCACTTGCGATGTTGCTGGTGTGCACTCTATGGGTACCTGGTTTTCGGAAGCATAGGGTACATACAGCCCATATCCTAGAGTTAGGGTAGGCGTGTCTCGTATAACTT